GAAAGACAGGCAGTTCCGTGCATGGAATTTCCCAGCAAATATCAGCCGACCGGAGGAGATGGAGGCATGGTGGAATGCGCTGGATTTTGGCAGACGGAAGAATGCTGCTTCCCCTTCAGGCGAGGGTGAGGAAATAGCAGCAGGCAGGCTACACGATGTGGTGGTAGCTGACGAGAGCCCTGTCATAATGGTCGAGAACGGTTTGCCAGAGGAGGAAGGACCCGAGGCCAATGAGAATGGCGCGCCGCCATTCAATCCCAGGCTCTTCCGACCGGCATCGACGAATATTGAGGTATTGCGCCAACTATCGAGAGACGGGAGGGAGGAGACTTTGAGGGCGGAGGCCGAGGAAGAGGCCATGGGAAGGGAGAAAATCGTTTGGGTCTTCTGGGGAATGGAGGTGTTGCGAACAGTGAAAACAAGGAAGTGCCTGAGGATGGCAGTTCAGCATCGACCGTTACTCAGGCTTCAGAAATGGGGACAGTCGACGCGGTGGCACAAACTAACGAGGAGAAGAAGTGACAACCGAATCTTGCTCATTGCAGTGCGCTGCCGTCGAGTTCTCGGCGACCTTACTTTCCTTTAACAGTCCACGACATGGTGTCCAGTGTACTGCGAGTGGAGGAATCAGTACCTCCAGCTAATCATTGCATTATCGTTCAGTACGTGCACGCTATATTTTTGTGCGATTTACGTTTAGGTGGATATCTCACGTACAACTCATGGTAGCATATACCACACCACTCAGGTAATAATTAACACAGCACCTCTGCATTCTGAATAGGTGCTTGCCATTGCAGTCTAAGGTGGAAAGATATGACGCTCCAAATCCCACTTTAATAAATTGTGCGATACACAACGACTGAGTGCGCGACACACCATTGAGTACGCAATACTACAATGTGTTGTGTAGCTACTGCTAGTATTGAACTGCACGGCCGAAATCTTCGAAGTTGGGCTCAACAATCAGCAATCTTGCCAGATCATTAGCTGTGTGAGTGACGAGTTTTTGCTCGTGTTCGAAAGCACTTTGGCCTTTCACAATGAATAATGCGGCTTTCCAGCAGTCCAAGTTTCTTGAACTGTTCAACAGTGTCCTTGTAAGGTTGTGGGTTTTGTCTGTCCAGTAAAAACCAACCCATTCCATTCCACCACAGCTGCTTCCAGTCCTCCTCGTATCTCTTTTGGTTCATGCAAGTTCCTGCATGTACCATGGGTGGGGCTTCACAGGCAACAATCTGATGGTGTAGTACATCCAGATGTTCCTTGACTTTGAACATTGTGTTCCACACAATGGACCCAACAGCATGACATTCCGCATTGGAGATATCATTGATGCGAGCTGAAATGAGTTGCTCAAAAGTGTGTGGAAAGCATGTTTTGACGTTGTACTTCAAAGCAAGCAAAATGAGTTGTGTCGGTTCGAGTGAGTAGGCTCATCAGCAAAACCCTAACCCTATGTGCAGTGCTGCACAATGCTGCACAGCAATCACAGTGTCACAGCAAGGTCCCCCCATGTACAGTGCTGTACAGTGCTGCACACTACACAATTTCTCAATAAAACATAATTATTAGCACACCATCTTGTTATATACATGTTTATGACTACATTACACTCATTTTTACATAGAATCAATACTTGTGTGGTGCTGCAGAGCCTTTACAACAAAATCTATGTGACCTGTGTGTCATATCCACATATCCAGATCTCAGATCCAATCCATATCTCATCTCAGATCTGATCCACATCTTATCTCCCTCCAAACATCTCATCATCCAAGCTGCCACTTGTCCAGTCTGGTCCACAATTTGTTACAATCATGTATGCCCCTATTCATTTTCTTTCTCATCTACTGTTGTATTACATCATGAGCTGCATAGTGCCACTGCTAGACTCTGATACCTTGTATTACATCATGACCGCTGTTGCCATCACTAGATGACTTATTCTTGTTATCACTTACACATCCTTCTCTTATCTTTCTATTCTTGTTATGGCTTATGCATCTCTTTCTTATCTCTGACTCATCATTGATTTATGCCTGCCCTAAACTACTTACAATTCACTATATATAGTTGGCGATGTACTCAGTAGTTCTTCAATTTAATCTTACTAGGTTTTCACTGTGTGCTAAGCAAACTCAGTACTTGTTGGAAACAATACTATCATTATAAGTACTCAAGCAAACTGTAGGTAGTTATACATCAGTGAATGAACATGAGATGCGGAGAAATCATATACACCTCAGTACTTGTTGGAAACAATACTGAGGTGGTCTCAAGGACGTGTCTAGGTAAAATATGTGCTGTAGCATGCTTAGTAAGAGATGGAGGATTGACGACTGGTAGAGTACATATGGTGCAAGAAGAAAAGAAGCTTGTGTAATGTATGGCATTGAAGGTGAAACAAGATAATGGCAAGAATGGTCATACCAGTGCCAATACACTCCCTTGCCGAGATGCTACTCACATGACACCAATTGCAGCCCCTTGACATGTTTGACAAATAAAGGACAAGGCAGGGCCTTCGTCAGGATATCTGAGACGTTCTTGTGGGATGGCAGCCAGTTCAGAAGAAAGACGCCATTCTCAATGTACTCATGAATGAAGTAGTAGTGAATGTCAATGTGTTTGGAATGGATGTGAAAGCATGCCTCCTTGGACAATGCAATGGCACTGGTGTTGTCGATGTAGAGGATGATAGGGAGAGGGGTTGGAATGTGGAGAGCAGTGAACAGAGATTTCAACCAGATTCCTTCTTGTATCACATGAGTGACCGCCATGTATTCAGCTTCTGTTGATGAGAGCACATGTGTGGTCTGCTTTTTGGAGATGTGAGCGACAAGGCCACCGGCGAAGAACCAGGCATAGCCTGAGATAGAGAGGCGGTCATCAGGAGATCCTGCCCAATCAGCATTGCAGTACCTGTGAAGCTTCTCATCTGTGTGATCACCCCTGTAGTGAGCATGATAGTTCTGTGTGCCGCTGAGGTAACAAAGGAGGTGCTTAGCTGCTGCATAGAAGTGAGGTGCTGGGTTAGCGCAATGCTGGGCAAGGGTGTTGATGGCAAAGGAGATATCAGCTCTGGTGCACATGGAAAGGTACAAAAGCTCCCTGATGATCTTATGATAATGAGTGGGGAGATTTGGGATGTCATCATGGATGTTGGATGCAAGACCGAAGGGATTCTTGGCATTGAGAGGCAGCTGGACTGGGTTGCAATCAAGGAGGTCGTACTCATCTAAAAGATGTGTGATATATTCACCTTGGTGCATCCATAATTGATGAGTAGAATGCGAGCGCTCGAATTGAATGCTGAGGAATTTTGTGATGGGTCCCAAGTCCTTGATTCTGAATCATTGAGCGATACAACCCTTGACATATGTGAGGAAGGGCTTTGAGTTAGAGGTTCCCATCCCGTCGTCGATGTGCCAACCGATGATGCAGAGAATGTGACCTGCAGAGGGAGTGGACTTGTCATAAATGAAAACAGTGTGGTCTACAGCACAACGAGTGAAGCCGAGTTCCATCATGATTGCCCTCACCTGCTTGTATCATTCCATGGCTGACTGCTTCAGCCTGTAGATGGTTCTGAGCATGAGCCAGACGAGCATAGCCCAATCACCTTCTTCAAAGCCCTTAGGCTGACGCATGTATATCTCTTCCTTCAGGACTCCCCAGAGAAAAGTGTGTCTTGCATCGAATGTGTCCAGTTCCCAGTCATTGCGACATGCCAGGGCTGCTATGAAGCATACCAATGCTGTTTTGATCATGGGTGCAAAGGTGGCTCCATAGTCAACTCTGGGGATCTGTGAAAAGCCCTGTGCTACCAAGTGTGCCTTCTGAACTGGTCCCCCCTTGTTATCCTCCTTGAACTCGAGGACCCATCTGTTACCTATGGCCTTCCATCCCTCAGGTAGCTTCACCAACTTATAAACGCTCATGTCCTTCATCGTCGATAGTTCAGCTTTCATGGCAGTGAGCCAGAGTGCATGGTCAGAGCGTTGCATGGCCTCATTGTATGTAGCGGGAGGGATTGCCATATTGTAGTCTGGGTTAGAGGGATTGCATTTGCAGTTGCTGCGAATTGCGACGTGAGCTTGTTCTTCAATGCAGGCATTGGCCATGGCCTCCATAACGTCAACGTTGGACTTGATGTTGGTAAGATCCTCTGGGATGACTTCCATGTGATCATCCAGGTTCACCCCCTCGCAAAGAGAGTTCTCCACAGCGTGATCTGCACGGGCATGATGAAGTGCCATTAAGTGTGCTTTGGACGCCGCAAGTTCATCTGTGAATAACTGCCCTGCAGGAGTGTGAATCCTTGCACAAGTCGAACGATGTGGTTCTGCAACAGGAGGAGAGGATGGAAGTGGAATGGATGCAGGAGCTGGGGCTGAAGGAGTGACAGGAGCAACAGGTTCATCATCCTTGCCATCAGAGTCAGTGTGATGAGTGACACATGGGAGGTTTTTGTCGAAAATGACATCCCGTGCAGTGAAGAACGCACCATTGTCCCTAGCGCGAAGTTGGTAACCCTTAACTCCCTCCAGGTAACCCATAAAGATGGCGGGACGAGAATGCAGGCCACCTTTGGTCTGAAGTTCTGTGGGGATGTGTGCAAAGCACTTCGCCCCAAAGACACGCAGGTGAGCCAAGTCGGGTTTGCGACCATTGAGCATTTCATAAGGCGTAATGCTGGGAGGAAGGGTGGAGGTCTCACTGCAGTTCCACAAGTAACAGGCAGTCAGGGCAGCCTCATCCCATAGGGTCACAGGCAAGTCAGCGGCTTCAAGCATAGTGAAAAGTCTGCCTTTTACAGTGCGAATTGCATGTTTGGCCTTTCTGTTTTGTTGATGCACATAAGGTGCTGAAAGCTGATGAGTGATACCTGCAGATGTCAATGCCTGAGTGAATGCTGCCCCAATGAACTCCCCCCCATTATCTGAATGAAACACTTTAACATGCTGACCGGCCTGGTTCTCCCAGTGCTTACGGATTATTTCCCAGGCCTCCAGAGCTTGGTCTTTGCTCGCAAGGAGTTGTAGGTTGAGGAGGTGCATGTGGTCATCAAGGAATATGATGAAATGATGTTTTGCATGTGGTGTTTCGACAGGGAAAGGACTGCATAGGTCTGAGTGGATGAGGTCGAGCATGGCAAGTGCCCTTGGCGTCTTAGAGGGTGGATATGGCTGACAAGGGTGTTTTGCCATGATGCATGGCTCACAGGTGGAGAGAGGAAGGGATGTGTCAACCTTTGCTCCAGTGGAGAAGAGAGGCAGGCACTTTACAGCCTCACCTCCAGGATGTCCCAGCTGAGTGTGCCATAAGTCCCAAGACAAGGGAACCTTGGCAAATGCTGAGATCTCGAGATGCGGAGATGGAGTGGATGGTGGGATGAACCAAAGATCCAGGAAGACTAGATTTCTGGTCATGGGAACTTCACTGAGGCTATCCCCATGATAGATGATTTGACAGTGGGGTGGGAAAGGTAAGAAGTTGCATGCCCATCCCTTCTTAAGCATGTGCCCTACTGACAGCAGGTTGATCAATGCCCCAGGGGCATGGAGGCACTCTGTAAGGTGCAACCATTGAACTCGATTATTGATGGTGAGTTCTGCTACACAATTGCCTCACCCTGAGGTGGCTAACTTGCCATGGTTGGCTGTCTTCACAGAGACCTTTGCATCCGAGTCATAAGTCCAGAAATGACTGCAATTCATTATGAG